GCGGCCGTCCTCTCCGTGTGCAGGGACTAGGTGAGCTTTGAATTACAGACTGGTCTTTAAGGGGGAAGGGGAGGGCAACGGCACAGCGGCTGACAGCATCTCCTGCAGGGGGCTGCCCCAGGAACGCCCCCCCACCCTCCTTCGAGTCCTCACCTGGCTTGATGGGCTGCCTGTTGGAGAAAGTCAACGGAGCCACGAGGAATCTTGTCTCTGCCACGGGCACCCAGTGGTGGAGAATCTTCACGGTCCAGACCCCGGGCCTCAGGGGCAAGTTCAGAGGGGGCTTGTAGTGGGTGAACTCAGCAGTGGACTCAATCAGGATGTCATAGGTGGCTGCGATGACGTTGACAGGGTCCACCCAGATGATTGTCACCGTCACGTTGGGCCCCTTGCCCCATTTCTGCATGCCCACCGGCTCATCCATGGGTCCCAGGAGGCCCCCAAAGTTTCGGAAGAGCCGCTCCTTGGCATCCCAATCAGTGCCGACCTGAAAGAGCACAGCGGGGTAGGAGACCACGGGGTGTGAGCTTGGGGCTCCTCCTGGCCGGGCCCCACCCTCCCCAATTCACAGATGATGAGTCTGAAGCTGGCCTCGGCCCCAGCAGGAAGCAGAACTGCGACTGGAGCCTCCTCTGGGCCTTTCACAAGGAGCTCCATCGTGGTGTAAACGATTATGTGCCCAGGTACTGGTTACTCAGTTCACTCAGAGGCGCCTCAGTGGAAAGGTCTGACCCTCCCCAACGCCGGTAACCACTGAAGTGTCAGGGAGCACAGCTCAGCTCTGCGACACACACACACACACACACACACACACCTCCATGACTGAAGGCTGAGTCCATGGAAACTGCCCTGGATTTTTTTTTGGGGGGGTCCTCTCTTGGGCCCCCTGGGCCTGGTAGCTGGTGTATGCCTGGCAGGACTGAGATGCACCTTCCTGAGAAGCCAGGACAAAGTAGCACACAGGGTGGTGGAGCGGCTTCCCTGACTGTGTGCCCCATTTAGGAGAGTGTTCTGACCATGGTGCCCTGTAGGTCTGGGAAGTGACCTCTGATAGATGGCAGTCCCTCGGCACCGCACACCAGGGAAACCCAGGGACAATGGCTTCCTAGGAAGAGGCTGACACCGAGATCTTCCTGCCAGCCAGCTGGGCACATGTGCCTGTGATCCACAGGGGACCCCTTGGCTTCCCCTTCCAGTAGCTGCAACGACTGTGTACGGCCCCTTCACTGCTCAACCCTTCCGTGGCTTCCTAGAGTTCCGAGCATCTGAGTGCCCACCCTGGAGCTACAGGCCCCGCTTCTTTCTCAGCCTTCTTGATGATGGTAGTATAGCCACACCTGACTCGTGTCAGCCCTGCATACCTGTCAGACACCCCTCCACCAGAGCAGTTTTGTACCATGTGTTCTGTCTGGCATCTTCTCTCACATTTTGCGCAGCAATCCTGGGGCTCTACCCACTGTCCTTCTCTGAGCCCCACGGCCCAGTCACACGGGGCCACACCTGGATGCTGCACTTTCTCTGCAGCAGGGTTGATAAACATGACCCACCAGAGGCTTGGCGATGGCTCTATTTCCTCTCTCCTCCTGGCCTGCTGTACCGACTTTCTCAGTGCCTTGCAGTACTCAGCACACAGTAGGTTCTCACTCAACATCCGGGGGACGGATGAGCCAAGGACCTTATGGAAAGTGAACGAACTACCCAGGCTCCTGATCCGGAGCTCTGTGGCTGCTTCAAATGAAATTAAATGAGAGGGCTTTGGCTGCCCCCGGGGATTAATTTCGTGTGTCTGGAGACCCAGCATGTGGCTAAGGAGGAGGAGGATAATGA